TATATATATATTTTACAATCTACACGAATTAGACACAAAGATGGCCAAAAAAAACCCCCACATGTGCAACTGTACCCAACTGTATACACGTCTAACTGTATCTCTTTGTTATCATACTACAGCGGGATAAGATTCATCTCTTATATTACATTTAATATTCAGCTCTTAATCCCAGAGGTAAAGATGCTCATGTACAGTATATCTTATACACATAACATCAGTTAATTTAAAGTGTAGAGATAGAAGTTATTTATTCGTCATGTCATGCACTGGGATCACTGGGCTGTCATATTAGGACAGTTATGGTGCCTCATTGGCATTTCATAAATCTGAAAGTAGACGTAAAGTAGAAACACCTTTAACCTCAGACAATGCTGTCATAAAGCACCTGTCAATTAATATGTGCATGTAGCCTTGACATTGCTGTCATCTTGTGGCCGCAGTTTGCTATTGTCACTGAAAGTTGCACTTCTTTCAGTCTGCAGCTCTCTCAGTTTTACAAGCTGACTGGCCAGCAGCTTTTTTCTGCTGGCATGGGCATGCACATTGTAGATAAGTTGCTGCTCTTTGACAGTAAACAGATGGGAGACCAGAGTGCAAGGCAAGCTGCTATTGGCTCTGATTTCACTGCTCTGACATCCGTTGTAACATGTGATTCCTCTGAAAACACTGCACGTAGTTGATCTTTAGTGATTTAGCATTCTAAAAGTGCCAACACAGTGCAAAGCAGCTACCTAAACTGTACTCCCACAGAGGTCAAATATGTCATTAAGAGTCTAACAACTCACCACATACAACTCTGAATACTGTGGCTACTCTGACGAAGCCAGAGAAAGATAAAAAGTACTTGACTCCATGGTATTACTCTTAAATGCACACCCTAAAGCAGATAACGACTTAAGCTTCAGAGGAAAGAACGTCTCACTAATTTAGAAGATCTTCATTTTTGTAGTCTTCATCTGCAAAGATGTTGCTCTCTCCATGACACAGAAGAGGAACTGTAATTATGTAATTATAACCCCAGTGTTGACCTCTCTGCACCAGCTTTCTGTTCCTAACAGGATCCAATTTAAAATTTTACTCGTTTTTAAATCACTAAATGGCTGAACCCCTTCTTACCTGTCTGAGCTCCTGTTATGCTCCAGAAAGAACCATGAGGTTCAGCTCAAAACTAATATTATCCATCCCACGGCCTAAACTTAAATCTCATGGTGACAGAGCCTTCGCTGTGGCAGGTCCCAGACTCTGGATTAGTCTTCCTCTAATTATTAGATCTGCACAAACGCTGAAACATTTTTAATCTTTATTGGAGACACATTTATATGGAATGGCTTTTTGCACACGTTGACCCAAATATTTTGTTTTAATAGCCTTAGTTGTTATTATTTTAGTTGTTTTTATTGTCTTATTGTATTATTTCTTTCTTTTACATTTTATTGCATCATTGTTGTGCATTTTACTTATTTTAGTTGCATTTCAGTTTGTAAAGCACTTGTGCAGCATGAGCTGTTGGAAATATGCTATATAAATAAACTTAACCTTGACCTTGGCCTTCCGTTAAATCGCCATTCTATCCTTCAGTCCAACATGCGTAATGTCCATTTGGCTGTTTCCCATCTCTTCTGCACATTGTCCTCCTGCCTGATCCCTTTGCACAAGTCCTCTGTGAGTACTAAGAACATATTTTCCTTTTGGCTCTCGGAGGAGGCAGACACACTTTTTCTCCTCTCCTCTCTCCCTTATCTTCCCTGCTTAGTTCTTATGTCCTTGTCTAGTCTCGTGTTTTTTTGTATTACTTTCCCTGGAACACACTGTCTGTCATGTTTCGGCTGTGTGGCAGGCAGGAATTGGACCCAAACGCAAACTCCCGGAGACAGAACTTGAACTCAAAAGCACAGCTTTATTGCTGGAAAACAGATCACAAACAATATAAAACTAAACTGGGAAAAGCTAATTATAATGTAGACTAGGAGACACGGGGAGAATAACAGAAAGCATGAGGGAGAACGCGACACAGAACTGAGGGAGACGCGGACCTAAATACAGGGTTAACGAGGGAAGTGGGAGCACACGGGGAACACAGCTGACACAGATAATCATAACGAGACAGGGCAGGAGTAAACACAACATGATGCATACTGACGAGAGACTGTCAAAGTAAAACAGGAAGTACACAGAGGTTCAGACAGGAGGTGAGAGAGAGAGCACAGACATAACGGGCTGGGGAAAACATTGAATGAGGAGGGGAGACGAGGGCTCACAGATACACAGAGGGGCACACAAGGGGTAAAAGTCACAAGGGGAATCAAATAAGGAACAACTTAACAGAGCAACCCAGGAACCATGGCCTAAATAAAGAACAAAATACAAGAATACATGAAAACAAGAATGCTGGGCCAACATGGCCCAGGATCATAACACTCTCACAGTCTGTTTCTAAAACCTAAAGAGAATTATGGATTTGATCAACTGGTCTCTGAATGCCTTTTGACACCCTTTTCTCAACGAGAAGTCTGGGCTTGGGAGAGCCCGAGTGCCCTGGAGGGACTTTCCCTGCCGGATACACGATGGACGGGTGGCAGGAATGGAGGGTCTGGCGGGACTGTCGATCGAGGACGCTGAAGATATCTACCTATTCGGAACCATGATAACAGGGTTCTTGCTGATCGGAGCTGGCTTGGCCCTGGCTTATCGGAAAATTAAGAAACCAGAACTGGCTGTTCAAACCCCCCCAAGGCTGCCCGCTGGGATTGAAACGATGGGACGAGGCGCGACTTCTCAGAACGGGCTCATGGAGAGCAGCATGGTTAAGACCTTGGAGATGCTTACAGCTGCCGTGAATACTCAGAATAACACTTCTGAGCGTTTATTGGGTTACATCAAGGAGAGGCCTGCTCAGAATAACACCTTTGAGCGAAAGTTGGATTACATCGTGGAACAACTAACTGCAGTCATGAGTTCTCAGAATCGGCTCTCTGAGCAAAAGAATGACAAGACCACGGAACGTAAGTTTGACACCATCATGGGGAAGCTTGCAGTTCTCCAACGGGAGATTGAGAGACCAGTGTTGGAATGTTAAAGAACAGCTTTGAAATTCTCATGAGTTGTTGCAAAAGACAAATTACCATCATAATGCGGCTACCCCTTCGGCGCCAGCTGTGGGCTCAAGGGTGGAGCCGAACAAAAACTCCCTCCCTGATAACGACTGTGTTGAGTCTGTTCCTTCCCATTCCCTACAAGGCCACCTGGGTTGGCTGGAAGACAGTTTACTTAGCCTGGCAGGGCGAAGGACACTGTCTCAGCTGAACTATGGACACGCACACACATACATATACTGATACTGATAAGCACTCACTGACGCATCACCCTCCCTACCCCGGATCCAACGCCACCTCCAACGCTTACCTCCCCTCTGATGTGGACATCGGGTGAGTTGGAGGCGCAGTCGAAAGATTGCGGCGGTCCCAGATCAGATGTACACACTGGAACTCTTTCCCATGTTGCTTGTCTGTGTTTATTGTACTATGGTGTGTTGATATCTGTGCATTCCTGTATTATCCTTTTGTGTTACACATTTTGATGTTTTTTTCCTCGCTGTCTCCCCAATGTAATGTTTGTGTATTGTATGTATGGTCGGCAAGGTCTGTCATCTCGGTTGTGGGCAAAAGACCTGCAACTGACAAATAAAGGCTATCTCATCTCATCTCATCTCATCTCATCTCATCTCATCTCATCATCCCATATGGAAAAGAAATAGTAAAAACTTATATGTGATTACTCATGAAAGTGGCCACTTTCCTGAGTAAATCATATAAGACTTACATGATTTACTCATGAAAGTGGCCACTTTCTCATTACTTTCATACATTGTTTTAGTAAGTATCCAAAACATACAAGTTTCATTGTATAATTTTTCAAGGGATCTTATATCTGTTTTCACTCTTATATGCTTTTCATACAAGTTTCACACAAGACAGATACTTTATAAGATTTATATATATCTTTTCCATATGGGATATCTGCCAATCACAGCCTGTGGGGATTGTGATTGTTTTCTGCAGCAGCTGTCTCTTAAAGTTTTAATCCTCAGTTCACATAGCATGCACTAAAACAGCAAATCCACAAACATTAACCAGTAAAACCAAACAAAAAAATTAATTAACATCATCTTTAGTGTCTTTTTGTTGCAAAGATTTTGCACATCAGCTAAAATTCACATGTTCATATAAATTTGTTCAAATCAATTTGTTCTGCTTTTTTAATTATGTTTACCACTCAGCCTCTCACATCATGTTTTATTTGAGCTCATCTAAAATTAGTAAAGCATTAACACTAACAGTGAAGTGGGTTGCTGCACTGTTGTCAGGGTCACTTTAGGGCTGTAAAGTGCTGTCAAGTGTAACTCACTGTTCATGATTTTTCTTTGTTTTTGCTACTTTCTACATTGTAGATACATACTGAAGATATCAAAATTCTTTTGATCAGCTTCATGATGTAGTCACCTGAAATGGTTTTCACCTCACAGGTGTGCCTTGTCTGGGTTCATTTGTGGAATTTCTTGCCTTCTTAATGGGGTTGGGACCATCAGTTGTATTGTGCAGACGTGAGGTTGGTACACAGCTGACAGTCCATTTCAACAACTGTTAGAATTCATATTATTGCAAGAACTAATTAGCTAAGTAAAGAGAAATGACACTCCATTATTACTTTAAGAACTGAAAGTCAATCAGTCTGGAAAATTGCTAAAACTTTGAAAGTGTCCACAAGAGCAGTCGCAAAACCATCAAGTGCTACAATGAAACTGGCTCACATGAAGGAAGGAAGGAAGACCAAGAGTCACCTCTGCTGCTGAGGATAAATTCATCCAAGTCACCAGCCTCAGAAACTGCAAGTTAACAGCATCTCAGATGCCACACAGAGTTCCAGTAGCAGACACATGTCTATATCAACTGTTCAGATGAGACTGGGTGAATCAGGCCTTTATGGTCAAATAGCTGTTGAGAAGCCACTACTAAGGAAAAGCAACAAGGAGACGACAATTTTCGAGCCAAGATACACAAAAAATGCACATTACTTTTGTTTGGGACTGTACCCTACAGAAACACACTTCAGAGAATTAGACATAAGCAATTAAAAAAGGTTTACAACCAAAGAATTGAGACTACATTGCATATCTAGACAATACCTTAAGCTATCGGAAAAGGCCTTAAAGCTGGTGTGCGTGTGTGTGCGTGTGTGTGTGTGTGTGTGTGTGTGTGTGTGTGTATTTGTATGAACATGTCAGACTGGTGTTTTTTTAGGAGACACAAGAAGGAATCAAAAGTAGAAGGAAGGCATGTTGATCAAGCTGTCATGTCAACAAAAACAACAACTGTGAATTTACTTCAAAAAAGAAAGATAAGACAAAACTGTCCCAACCATATGGTATATGAGGGTAAAAAAAAGTTTTGTGCATGATAAAGTGTATGTAGAGGGTATTAAAAGCAGACTGGAGACTCAGAAGTCACACTTCTGAAGGAAATGAAAGTAACAACAAATGTGAGTGTGTAACAGTGACAAGAAAAGATGACATTACGGTGGTCTTTGTCTTTGTTCCTAATGTGCATTTGCTTTAAAGGTATGGATAATTTATCTGTAATCTTTATTTCTCAAAAGATGTAGACTTAAACAGTTTTTTTTTCATATGGCTTTGCTTTTTTGTCCAGTATTTTGTGAGTATTAAATGATCTTTTCTGTATTTTCCCATGCATTTAATCTCTCCTTCTTTCACTGGTTGTCTTATTCCTGTACTTTGATGAAGCAAACTTCATCAAATTTTACTGTGGATTTTATTACAGTTTCTCCAATGGAAGCTTCATCTTGGACTGTAAAGGTGCCATCCTCAGTGAAAGGTCACCTTGGATTATGTGTGGTGATCCCCTGTTCTTATGACTTCCCTAGTCCACAAAATAAGGTCAGCGAGTTCACAGGGATTTGGTACAATGACAATGATCAAGTCATCTGTCATTCCAATGCATCTCAAATTTTGGATCCGTTTCTGAATCGGACAAAACTGCTGGGAGATCTCAGCAAGAAGAATTGTTCTCTGATGATTGAAAATCTTCAACAAAGTGACGGATGGCCTTTTTATTTCCGGATTGAAATTAAAGACTACAACCAGTATTCCTACATCAATGATAAAGTCTCTATTTCATTGAGTAAGTACTATTAACAATACCACCACATTTTCTACTTCTTGTAACTATCTCTTTGTTTCCAGTGTTTTTACCATGATGTTTCATTATATTGATAAGTGCTGAATAAATATTTTAGTGTGAATGTGCAATGTTCTAGAACAGTTTTCTTTATTTTTGTTTCTCAGCCTTTTCTTAATTTACTGAATTATTCCTTCAAAGCTAAGATTTAATAACGCAGTTTTTTTAATTGCTAATTGATTTAATGGCAAGAGCACTTTTTAAAATCAGTATTATTTAACCCTGTTTGTTGCTATGACTTACTTTAAGTTTAATGTAAAACCTTGCATAGCAAATTTTTTGTCAAACTGGGTGATTTGGATTTAGATGTTAAGTGTCTCTGTATGGAAGAGAATGGGCAAAAATGAAAACAAAAAACTCATCAGCAGCTATACTGTTTAAGTGGACTTGTATTTCCATTACAGTATACTTACCATCATGATGGAGTTCGGGTTTATGATCATAATCTTTTTGTTAACACAGGTCAACCTAATTTATCTGTGCAAGAGGAGATAAAGGAGGGTGAGAATGTGTCTGCATCCTGCTCCGTGTTTCACTCCTGCCCCACATATCCACCTTCTTTCATCTGGAGTCACTCTGGAGAGCAGCATGATCAAACACAGCAGCTTCATGAAGGCCAGTGGAATTCAACATCTACTCTGACCTTTCACCCAAACCGCTCTGATCACAACAAGCCTTTAAAATGCAACATAACATACCATCATGGTCTGCTCCAGGAAACATCTAAGATACTTCAAGTAAAATGTAAGTATACTGTACATTTACAGTGTATCAACCACTGTAAATAGTCTCGTTTTTTTTAAGCATTCAAAATCGGCGATACAGTATTTTTTGCAATTAAACAATATAAACAAGCAAACAAATAAAATAGGTGCAGTAACCCACATAGCAGACAGGTCTAGCCCAGATCTGGTGTCAAGCTGGCACTGCTGGCTGACGTCTGGCATGGTAAGTGGTATGTTGTCCAGATATGGGTCAGGCCTGGCGTAGATGACACCGTTTATGTGATGGCATGCCAAATCTGGCCCGATTGTGGTTTGGTGTATGTGGCCCAGGCTCATAGAAAAGAGGTCTGGTCCGGATCTGGCATCAAGCTGGCACTTCTGACTGACTGGTGTCATGGCAGGGTGTATGTCAGCCAGATGTTGGCCAGGTCTGGCAATGATGGCACTATTTATGTTCCTATTTTCGTATTTTAGTTAGAAGACCCAAATGCCATGTTGCAATAGTATACTGCTATGGTAGCCAACGTTTCAAATGCAGGTTTGACAGGTTTGTGAGTGTGCACTTTATCCACAACCTAGTGATGGTTTACTCATCTTTACCACTGGGTGGCTGTAGCTCAGAGGTAGAGTAGGTCACCTAATGATCAGAAGTTAGTGGTTTAATCCCTGGTTCCTCCGTTCTTCATGTCAAGAGCATGAATGTGTATGAATGTAGTTAGGAAGCACTCAGTTGAAAAAGTGTATGATTGGGTGAATGTGACATTTTGTCTAGAGCACATTGAGTAATCTCTGAAAAGAGATTCGTCATGTTGCTTTTGCACTATTTTGTTACTGCACATGTTGTTATTACATGGCTTGATTAAGGTACATATTAGGCTGACACTGTTCAGCTCTGGCCCCAGCAAAGGGCCAGCAGTGTGTCTGCAACTGGCCCGTGGCTGCACACAACTTACACATGGCCCACATATCGCAAAGAATGACGGCCCTTTGGTGGGCCAGATCAGGTTTGCCAAACATTCAGTAGGGGCCCTGTGCTGCACTGCTATCAGTGAAGAAGGGGTAATTAGATCCTGCACCTCAGCGTGTTATGCATGTTATGTTACACTAGAATGAATTCAATTACAAAACACTTTTTTTCATTCAAACATACATAATAAATGCATGGCTATCTTCCATTTTTATTTCATGTCCTCACAGATGGCCCTGACATCAAGACTTCCTCAAAGTGTTCTTCAGAGGACGGCGTGGTAAAGTGTGAGTGCACTGTAGAGTCCGAGCCTCCCAGCATGGTACATTTTGTTCTTGGTGACAGAGTCCTGCAAAGCAGCAAAGCAGAGAAAAATGGCTCTGTTACTATTGAGACTCTGCAGACAGACTTTGGGTCTTTCAGGTTTGTGCACTGCCTGGCAATCAACGTGGTGGGATATGACAACATTTTGCTCTCTTTACCTGTTAATGGTAAGAAAGACTTAGGATGGATTGATCTCTCTATTTTTACATGACAAAAATACTTAACATGGTTTCTTTGTCAACAGACAACATGCAGAATATTCTTATCTCGTCTGGAGCAGGTGGGATTTTGCTGATTATTTTGATAGGATGTGGAGTGGGAGTTATTAAAAAATGGTAAGTTGTCATGAACAAAATCATTGCAGATAAAGTCATGCATGCAGGAGAATCTCTAAATAGTTTTCAGAGCACCAGAGAGTCAGAGAGACCTGTCAAACTTCTGCAATGCCCGAAAAAAAAGGTTTTATTATTCCTCAGCTCAGTTTGCAAAAAATAAACAAAATCCTACCATGATAAAATAAGATTTTAAAAGATGTGTAAATACATTACTTTTTTTTGCATCCTTTCTGCAGGAAAAAGAACAGGGAGCATATCCCTTCTCCTGACATTTACGCAAATGATCCTGTCTATGGAAATGTAGGGATAAGCAATGCTTTCTTAATTGATTCATCCATAATGTACATGCATAAAAAGGGAGTTAATTAATCGTGTTTCTCTTTGCAGATTCCTTGAGATGAGTCAATATATGACAATGTGTATTGTGTGGAAGACCAACTACAGTCCATGTTGCTGAGTCAAGGAAAATGTTGTTTTGGGGTTGGGTTTTTTTT